CGCACAACACTGTTTTAATTGAAGGGTTGATAGTAACCATCACAAAGAGGGTGGAGTTTATGGGGGAATCTAACAGGTGATGTTTGGATTCTGGAACAGAGATCCATGAAGCAAAGAAAGTGGAAAGGTGGAGGCTTCCAGTGGTGAAATTAAGACATCGTTCCCCTGTTGTCCAACTGTCTGGAAGCCTCCAGTCACCCACTATGAATTTATGCGGAGAAAGATCAAAACTGGATGTGGGAGGGGAGAGATTAGTATCCTTTGAGTATAACTCATCAAATGGCTTTCTCTCTGTGTTACAGTGATGGCATTGAAATCTGAAGGTTTACCAGAACCTGGACGCCCTGTTGCTGTTGAGCATTTCCGTTCCCCAAGAATTGGCTCTGTGCCAATCCCTGGAGGTTCCTTTAGTGTTGATGCTTCTCTTCCGGGGCTTCCCACACCTCAGGTTGAGGCTGCTCCTAAAAGGACACCTCGGCGCTTGTTTCCTGAAACGTGGATATGGGACCTGGTTATTATAAAGTAAGTGGATAGCACAGCCCTAGAGATTTCCCTGGAGACCAATTACTACAACCTAGGGGAGCTTCCAGGTATGGACGGCTATAGCTCCCCCCTCCCACCATCCCCAACGGCAAGTTTGAGCTGGCTTGGCTGAGCACGAAGGCAGTCGTAATCCAACATATCTGGAAGGCACCAGGAGAAGGAAGCTGCATCTGAATTTTCATCCACATGACAATGAGGAAGCTGCAAAGGTTGTAACTTTGAGAAATGGTCATAAGCCAGTTTTTTTCCATGCCTTTGTAACTTTGAACGGTCACTATGGGAACTGTTGTAAGTTGAGGACCACCTGTATTATTGTGTAGACATCTGATTCATTGGGGTGTTTTGCACAACTGCTCCGGGACTAAGCTATCTTTTATGCTGTTCCCCCCACCCCTCAAAATGTATGGTTAGTGCTAAATTTATATTCCTAGTTGAGCCTGGAATTATGGGCATAAGTCATTGCAGTTGTAAATTGAGGCACGGTGACCTGGCCCTGATTTTTTTTTTTTTGCCATGGTCATTAAACAAATACCATGGTTGTTAAGCAAATCCTTTTTTCCCCAATGGGGCTTGCTTGCTGGAGACCAGAACTAACTGCCAGAAATCAACACACCTGTAGTGGATTGCTTCACTCACTTTCTATTCTCTTGTGTCCTTCAGTGGTTCTCAAGGAAATAGCCATTCTCAACTCCGTAGTTCCAGTAGAAAGAGAGATGTATCTGAAGAATCCAAAGAGATTGCTCTTCCCGTGACCATCCCGGACACCATCACTGAATGGAAAGCTGGAGCTTTCTGTCTTTCAGCAGACGCAGGCTTTGGCCTGGCCCAGTCCACTTTTCTGAAGGCCTTCCAGCCGTTCTTCGTTGAACTCACCTTGCCATACTCCGTGGTGCGAGGAGAAGCCTTCCCACTCAAGGCTACCGTCTTCTCCTACCTGACTGATTGCATCCGGGTAAGAAGCACTTTACTGCTGGCTATGGGACCTTCCCTCTGTATTCTTGGAATTGCTTGGTCCTCTTTCTCTGCCTGAGTCCATTTGCTCCAATTCAGAATAACAAAAGAACAGAGCTGGAAGAGATCTTGGTGGTATTCTAGGCCCGCCCACCCCGTTCTGTCCTCAATACACATTAGTCTGTACGCAGCTAGACATGTAGCTAAACCCACCTATCCGCCAATAAAACAGACCATGTGCGTAGATCTGAATGCTTTATTCAAAGACCAGGATATGGTGAAACTCGGGGAAAATAGGAATACATACAATGAGAACCAAATACAAGATAGAGAATATTGAATTACTGCTGAAAATAACAATAAATTTAAATCTCACCAACAATGCTCGTTGTGTGGGATGTGGGTTTGTCCTTGGATGACCATGTGCCACAGATTAAGATGGATTCTTCTTTGTGCTTCTGCCTTCTCCAAATACTAAAGGAAATGGAGTCTGGCTTTATAGTGTGCCCTTAAGAGTGCAGGCTGATGGGTAAAGAGGTTAGATCAGCTTCAAGCAATATAATTGGTAATTGTCTCTCTGGACACTAGATGGGGCTAAAGAGCAACAATAGTATATAAAAGTTATATGCTGGGGCATTACACCCCCTCTTCTAGCAGGAACCTATATCATTCTGGACCAGGGATGTCAAGCTCGTGTCATCACAGCATCATCACGTGATGTATTGGGACATTTTTCTCCTTCACTAAACCAGATGGGGGCAGGGCCAGCACCTGACATATCCGACCCGCGGGCCTGAAGTTTGACACCCGTTTTGGACAAATGGCTATCCAATCTTTTCTTTAAAATCTCCAGTGATGAAGCACCCACAATTTCTGGAGGCAGCCTATTCCACTGATTGTTCTCATTCTCAGGCATTGCTTCCCTCCTTAAGTTTCCATCCATTACTTCTTGTTCTGCTTTCAGGTACTTAATTCTTAACTGCTCATTGTTTGCATTCAAGGTCTCAAAACTGCCTGAAATTATCCTGCCCCAATTTGCAAACAAAAAACCCCAATACCTGCGCTCCCATTTTTGCTAGAGAACTGGCTTTCAATACCTTTTTTTCCTACAGTACATTATTTCAAGCTTGGTGATTTTAAGAGGTTTGGACTTCAACTTCCAGAATTCCCCAGCCAGCAAACTGAAGTCCATTCAATTTAAAGTTGCTGAGTTTGAAAACACAACTCTAGCAGATGCTTCTCTATTGAATAATGCATCCATGAAAGTAATGAGTGTATGGGGGAAATGAACTAGAACTAACAGAGGGAGTGTAGGTTGTACCCAAAAGATTGTGGTTGGTTTTACCATTAGCAAGAATGGGGTTGATCCCACTTTTTGTGTTCTTTAATTGCTCATTTTTACCAAGAATAGCAAAGAGAAGCTTATTGGATTCTTACTTCAAGCACTAGAATAACTGTGCTCTGTATCTACTATGATGTCAAGACTTGGGACATAATGCTGCATTCTTTATCTTTTGCAACAAAATACTTGGACCAGCCTGGCCATTTAATTCCTCATACATTCATGCCTACAATATGGAAGTATGATTAACTTTTAATTCAACCAGTTCCAAAGGATAATTTATTCGAAAAGACTATGAGAGATGGTGCATACGGAGGGAGAGTTAGGGAGGTGAGTTATAGTGAAGTAGCAGTTTCCCAGGAAGGAGGGGCACATTCTAGAAAGTGAGGGGGGGGATGAGGCACCACAGCTTGGAGCGGGATAGGAGACAGAGATTTTGGATAGCCACTCCCTAGAATCTGCCAGGATATACCTGCTAGACTGTGAATGAGCTTGCAAGATTCTGTCTATTGTGCATAAGCAGAGAAAGATCTGAACTCTGGCTGAATTTTTCTTGAGCTTAGCCTGACAAAGATATAGATATAGGTAAAGATGGAACCTTTCAAAGCATATTGCCTAGTTTCTAGGAGAATAAAAGAGTTTTGAACAGACTGTATATTATCCTTTTCATTCATTCATTCATTCATTCATTCATTCATTCATTCATTCATTTGTGAGTGTGTGTGTGTGTGTGTATAGGGAAGATGGAGGCATAACAATCCAATAAACAAACAAATATTCAAACACTACCACATGTGCTAAAAACTTGACCAACCAATAAAAGCAAAATTGGGGGAGAGGAACATTCACCTAATCATAGTATGACCATTGTGCAAGCTCCCCATGGGTTCACCAATGTTGATGTAGACACCATCTTTGGAGAGCCTTTTGAAAGGCTCAGCCTCATAGGAAATGATGATTGTGAGTTTTTCTCTGCACTGCAGTGGGGATGTATAACCTTCCCTTTGAACTATTTTTTTTTCCAAATGGACAGGTCAGAATATCTCTGACGCCTTCTGCTGACTTTGAGGCATCTCCTATGGAGGAGAAGGAAGATTCCTATTGTATCTGTGCAGACGGAAGGAAAACGGTGTCATGGATGATGACCCCTAAAATTCTAGGTAAGTGTATAACTTTAATAATGGAGCCATTGTTGGGTATATGGATACTCCAACTGGTTTGGGTTGAATAAATATGTAAACCTTGGATTAAAGTGCTATGTAGCTTTAAGCACAAGAAACTGCAATGTCATTGTGGGTGCGGTTGCAGGCAGCCATATAGGTAGGAGGGGAAATGTATGAGCCCCGGCTTCTGGATGCAACTGTATGAGCCCCGGCTTCTGGATGCAACTGTCTGAGTCCGTCTTCTAGATGCACCTGGTTACTGTTCCTGGTCTGCTGCCTACTGTTGTTGGAAAGTCTATCTGCTTACTTTGGAGGCTACTGTGCCAGATACCAAATTCACCTGAACACAAGGACTGTTTACTGGTGAGCTGTGGATTCAGCGTTAGTACTTGAGAGAAAGGTATCTTAAGAAGAAGATATACAAGCAGATAAAGAGATTGTATTTACTGTTTAAAGGACCTGATAACTGGATTGATAAACTGGATACTTACATATGGACTCAATGACTATTCTTAATCTCTGTATGAATTAAATACCTATTTAAACCACAAACAGTGTTTTTGTCTCAAGTGTGTGTATACTCTAGGGCCCAGCCTCACTCTCATTTGGCTGCCTGGCTTGACTGCTGCTGCGCACTCTGCTAGGGGGTTTATCCCCAAACACTAACAGCCATTATTTAGAAGATGACTTTTTCCCTCCATGTGTAAAGCAAATCAAGGAGCAGAGTTTTCATTTCCTCCTCAGACTGTAATGTATGTAAGAAAGATCTTCTGGCACATGCATGTATGCCAGGCAGCTGATCTTCCTGTGTGCAGGAGTGCCAGAAACCGGAAGAGCAGCTCCGTAGCATGCATACACAATGCTGGCAGCTGATCATGTGCACATGCGTGTTACTAACTGAAAGACCAGGTGGCCAGCACTCATGTGCACACCAGGAAGCTGAGCTTCCAGTTTCCCACGCCCATACATGTGTGTGGCTGTATTCTGGCACTTGGTCCATTTTCAGCTTGCACGTGTTCCCGTTTTGGCACTGGGTTCCGAAAAGGTTGACCACCATTGCTATAGAGAGTATCTTCTGATCCTCTTGCATCTCCCCACTATCCAGCCGCAGGGTCTATTGTCCCTTATCCGACCATGTCCCCTGGCAGGTTCTCTGTGCCCAACCTTTTCTTGGTCCTTTCTACATCTCATTACTGTATCATCACCATCATAGCAATAGTGCTTTACAGCCCTCTGTAAGTGTTTTACAGAGTAAGCATGTTGCCCCCAATAATTTGGGGTCTTCATTTTACCCATCTCGGAAGGATGGAAGGCTGAATCCACATTGGCCTCATCTTTTAATGATTTCAATCATCGCTTGCGGGGTGGAATCTGGGCAATTGAATGGAGCTAAGTGTTTACTGGATGGATGTCCTTCCTGTTGCCAATGCAGAGTTCTTTTCAGCAGATATATTCTCACTGTGCCTAGAGAGAGAAATATTTGCCTCTACCTAGGTTCAAACTCACCGCCTCCTGATTGTGAGGTGAGAGCTCTACCTCCAGGCCACTGCACTTACTCACATACCGTTACTACGTAAAGGGACATATTGTAACGAGGTGAACCATTTCTGTTCCAGGGGAGATCAACCTCACAGCCAGTGCAGAGGCCGTGACTTCAAATCAGCTCTGTGGGAATGAAGTCGTGGAGGTGCCCACCACTGGAAACAAAGACGTCGTGATCAAATCGTTATTAGTTGAGGTATGTGGGGTGCTTTAAACCCAGGCTGGGTAAGGAGAGGACGCAGATGTCTGAGTAAAGCGATGGTGGATATTTTGTGTTAAATGTCAGAGATGATTCTGAGGAAAATGCCAACAGCCAGCAATTTATCCCAGTTAGTAGAGTTTACCAGGTCAAGAAAAATGCTGTGAGATCATCTATCTGAGCTTTGGAGTGTTCCTTGGGAGAAGTCTGGCAAGATCTGAAGGGATCTTGTTAGTGGACCCGGTTATCTTTTTTTCCCCATTTTCGCTTTCTTCTCCTTTGGATTACACATTTTACAATACAAAACATGGCTACTATAAGCCATGAATTACTACAACAAAAGGGGGGTCTTTTTAGAAAGCCAGCAAATGATAGAAAAAGGGATTAGTCAAGACTTTACATAAAAAGGGTTTTTTTTGTGTGTGTGTTTTTTGTTTTACATAAAAAGGGTTATGACACTGACATCCCCATACTCTGTTGAAGACGTTACCTAGCCTAATAATGAAAAGTTCAGAAACCAACCCACAAGCTCGGAGAATGAACCTTCACACTCAAAAATTATCTTGTTAGGAAACAACACAAAGCAGTTCTGTGTTGATCTATCCAGTGATGTGAATTCTAACAGATAACAGATAATCAGAGTTGGAAGGGACCTTGTAGGTCATCTAGTCCAACCCCCCCTGCCTAAGCAGGAGACCCTACACCATTTCTGACAAAGGGCAGTTCAATCACCAACCACAATCTTCTGGGTACAACCACATTTCTTCTGGGTGCTCGTCTACTTAACTCACATATTATATCTACAGTGATTTTACTACATGACACTCCTGTTCACCTCTCCCTTTTTCCTTCCCTTTCTGTTCCGGTGAAGCCTGAAGGGATTGAGAAAGAAATGGTGTTCAACTCTCCTCTCTGTGCATCTGGTACGTTGCCCCTGTAGACACAGTTCTTAACTTACTCTAAAAGCTCTTTTTTGAAGTGCCTCCTTCCAAAGAAGATCACCCCCCCCACACCCAGGTATTCATGAAAGCCTAGAGGAGAGGAAAGAGTGGGGAGAAAGGATATAAACATTGGATATGGTCTCTTGAACAATTTGATTCCTGCTGAAATCACTACTGCAGCTCAGCCTTCTAAGCAGAACTTGCACCAAGAGACCAGTTAGAACAGCAGTGCCACCTGCACCATGATCAAAGTTTTGCATCTCTTTTATAGCAGAACCCTTGTCCGAATCTTATCCTCTGACATTACCGGAGAATGTTGTAGAAGGCTCAGCCAGGGCTTCATTTTGTGTGCTGGGTAAGTGAAATACCGTCTTAATCATTATAGAAATTAATTCTGTTCTTGGACACTCCCACATAAGGTCCCTGGGTCAATCTGGAAGCCACTCCTATTCCATGTACAAGTTGTCCTTAACTTGCCACAGTTTGTTTAGTGACATTTGAAGTTACAATGGCCCTGAAAAAAGTGAGTTATGACCACCTTTCACACTTACTGTACTACCGTTACAGCATCCCTGTGGTCACATAATCAAAATTCAAATGTTTGGCAACTGACTCATATTTATGACGGTTGCAGTGTTCCGGGGGCCATGTGGTCATCTTTTGCGACCTTCTGACAGCAAAATCAATGGGGAAGCCAGATTCACTTAACAACTTGGTTACTAACTTAACAACTGCAGTGATTAACTTAACAATTGTGACAAGCAACTATCTCACCATAGCAATGGAAATTTTGGGCTCAATTGTGGTCATAAGCTGAGGATTATCTGTATGGTCCATGGTTGATGGTTTTCCATTAAGCCTGGGCTGGGTGCTTTCTAAGTCAATCCCTGGCACTGATTCACTGAACTATTGTGGCAAGTAAGGTAATAAAATGGGAGGAAAGTCACTTAATTATCTTGCTCAGCAACAGAAACATTGGGTTGAATTATATAAAATTACTTGTATTCAAGCATGTTGGATAATCGCTGCAGTTGGCAGTTTTGGGGCATTGGGTTAAATGTAAGGACCTGCCTCAGCTACCTTTTCAAGAATGCATGACTCTTGAACCATTATTGGCATTTCAAAAGGAACTTTTACAGAGAGAAAGGGATTGCAGAGAGAACAGGCAGAATCTGAAGTTCCCACACAAAGTTTATCTTATTCTTCCCATTCAAACCCCACCCCAATGGCCCTCATTCCAAAATAGCTAATACAGCATAGCAAAGATGTTTTGAGAACTTCGAGGCGTTAGGTTAATAATGGTTCATCCTCAGAATGCCGTGACTTTGGTAACAGGCTAGATAGAGCTGGCTGGAAGGAGTCCATCATGTTGACTTGGTCCTCCTCCCTAAATCTCACATGGTTACAGCAAAAGTGAAAGCATGCAAAGTATCTTGTCCCAGATGGCAACCCCCTCCCCCTTGGATTGGCAGCATTCTGGCAGGGACCTGACACTAAGGGTGGGAGAAAATTGGGTAGATTTCTCTGGAAATTCAAACAGTGGCATCTTTTGAGGGGGAGGAATCAAAGTTGGCAAGATCCTGTCTGTCATATGTCCTTTTCTTTCCCTTTCTCAGGAAACATTTTAGGAGGAGCGATAAAGAACCTCAATCGGCTTCTCAAAACGCCCTACGGCTATGGGGAGCCGAACATGGACCTCTTTGCCCCCAATATCTACATCCTGGACTATCTCAATAAGACTGGACAACTGACACAGGAGATCAAAGCCAAGGCCATCGGATACTTAGAGACTGGTGAGAAGCACCCCACAGGAATTCTCCTCCCATTCTTTCCCTACTGCAGTTGGGAAACTTTCAAAGGCTCCATCAACAGATTGGTTACTGGTATTGATAGAGGAGGCTGTAAATTAAACAGATAAGATTGACTAAGATTCCTGGGACCTTTCCAGATGTTAAGTAATATAGAGAAACAGTTTGGTGTACACTGACCTAGAAACGAGGAGACTGTAAGTTCTAGTACTGCCTGAGTATGAAAAAATGACTGAGTGGTTTTGGATTAGTCACTCTACCTTGACTCAACTCACTTCAAAAGATTGGTTGGGGAAAATAGAAAAGTGTTCTGGGGAAGATAAAACGAAGGAATAGCATGCACATTCTCCCTTTTGAATTTCTTATGAAAAGGTAGCAAATGAGGGATTACAATCTAATAAATAAAATAAAATATTGCTCAATGGCTTGCTGTTCTGGACAATCCAGTTAGCCTGCAATAGCAGAGAATAGAATAGAATAACAGAATTGGAAGGTTTAACAGATAAGCAGAGTTGGAAGGGAACTTGTAGATCATCTAGTCCAACCCCCTTCCCAAGCAGGAGACCCTACACCATTTCTGACAATGGCAGTCCAATCTCTTCTTGAAAGTCTCAAGTGATGGCGCTCCCACAACTTCTGAGGGCAAGCTGTTCCATTGGTTGATTGTTCTCACTGTCGGAAAGTTTCTCCTTATTTCAAGGTTAAATCTCTTCTTGGTTAGTTTCCATCCATTATTCCTTGTCTGGCCTACAGGTGCTTTAGAAAATAGCTTGACCCCTTCCTCTCTGAGGCAGCCCCTCAAATATTGGAAGGCTGCTATCATGTCTCCCCTGGTCCTTCTCTTTACTAGACTAGCCAGGCCCAGTTCCTGCAGCCATTCATTGTATGTTTTAGCCTTCAGTCCCCTAATCATCCTGGTTGCTCTTCTCTGCACTCTTTCTAGAGTCTCAACATCTTTTTTATAGTGTGGTGAGCAAAACTGGATGCAGTACTCTAGGTGTGGTCTTACTAAGGCTTTATAGAGTGGTATTAGTACTTCCCTTGATCTTGATTGTATCCCTCTGTTAATACAATTTAGGATTGCATTAGCTTTTTTGGCTGCTGCTGCACACTGCTGGCTCCTATTTAGCTGGTTGTCCACTAAGACTCCAAGATCCCTCTCACAGTTACTGCTATTGAGCCTGGTTTCACCCAGTCTATATGTGTACTTTTGGTTTTTCTTGCCTAAGTGTAGGACTTTACTTTTCTCTACACTGAATTTCATTTTGTTAGATATGGCCCAGTGTTCTAGTCTGTCAAGATCCATCTGGATCTTGAGTCTATCTTCTTGGGTGTTAACTATCCTGCCAGCTTAATATAATCTGCAAATTTGGTAAGTTCCCCTTCTATTTCCTCATCTAAGTTGTTAATTAAGATATTGAAGAGTACTGGGCCCTAGATGGAACCTTGTGGCACCCCATTGCTTACTTCCCTCCATGTAGACTTAAATCCATTAAGGATTACTCATTGAGTACAGTTTGCCAGTCAGTTGCAAGTCCATCTAGTAGTGGTGCTATCTATTCCACTTTTTTCTAGCTTACTAAGAAGTAGGTTGTGGTTTACTTTGTCGAATGCCTTGCTGAAATCTAAATATATCATGTCCACAGTATTTTGCTGGTCTACCAATTTAGTCACCATGTTGAAGAATGAAATAAGATTGGTTTGGCATGATCTGTTTTTAACAAACCCATGCTGACTGCTAGTTATTACTTTACTTGTTTCTAGATGTTAGCAGATCTGTTTTTTTATTATCTTTTCCAGTATCTTCCCGGGTATTAATATTAGGCTGATTGGTCTATAGTTTCCTGGGTCTGTTTTTTTTCCTTTTTTGAAG